AAAAAAAAAAAAAAAGAAAAGAAAACCCTCTCAATGCCCAGGCCACACTCCAGACCAGCCAAATTCTTATCTCTGAGTGTGGCCCCCATGCATGGGTGGTTTTCTGGTTTTGTTTTAACTCTCCAGATGGCTCCAACATGCAGACACATTGGAAAATGGGGTGAGGCTCATTGATGAGAGTCCCTACGATGAAAACAAACAAGGTTGTATCATCAAAACATTTCCCAGGTCTGGTGAAGAAAGTCGGACTTAATCGCCATGATGGAGAACTACCTCCTGCTCAGCTCCAAGAACGCTCAGAGCCTGAAGTTTCTGGGTGAAGAGCAAGTCCACACAGGATTTCAGACGGGGAGCCTGCCCCAGGGAAGGACTTTAAACCCTCCTTACAAACAGGAGGACTTGTGTAAAAGGCCACCTCCTGTGGGAAGTGACAGACCCAGAGCTTTGAAAGTTACTGGACCCCACCTAGGAGCTAAACTTGCTTTTCTCAAAAGGTCCCAAGAGCAGGAGCATCAGCATCATTTGGGAACTTCTTCCAAGTGCAGATTCTCAGGTCCCTAAAGACAGGGAAAATCTGAGAAACTGTCACCACCAAGAGGAACCTAAGGAGGTTTGACAGGGAAACGTAGTGCTGGATCCTGCATAGGAGGCTGCAACGGGACATCACGTGAAAATCAAGGAAATCAGTAAAGTATGGGACTATTCCAACATATTAACAGTTGACAGATTGTTCCATGTGGTGCACAAGGTTAGAGGAAATGGTGCAGGACGTGAGGGAATCCTGTGGGCTTGGGAAAACTGTTCTAAAACTCAGCTTTTTAAAAAACATTCTTTTTTAAAGTTTTATTTTGAGAGAAAGAGAGGACACAAGCAGAGGAGGGGCAGAGAGGGGAAGAGAGAATCCCAAGCGGGCTCCACACTCAGCGCTGAGCCTGATGCAGGGGTATGATCCATGACCACGAGACCATGACCTGAGCCGAAGCCAAGAAAGAGTTGGACGCTGCACCGTGACTGAGCCACCCAGGCACCCTAAAACTCAGTTTAGCGTGGGCCTGCTCACCTGTGGCTTAACAAGGCCCTCGGGGGATGCCCATGTCACTAAATTAAGGTGACCTACTAATGAGTGTCTCACAATGCCTCTGTAGTCAATGTGGGAAATTACAGTTTGCCAAATTTAGCCAAACATCCAGGATGCAAGTGACAAAGCAGAACAGGCAGAGCACAAAGGATTTTTAGGGCAGTGACACTACTCTGTATGAGACTACAAGGGTGGGTGAATGTCACACACCTGTCTAAACCCATAGAATGTGTAACACTGAGTGACCCCTAAAGTATACACTCTGGGTGAAAATGACATCAGTGTAGGCTTATCAACTGTAGCAAACGCCACCACTCTGATAGGGGATGCTGATGGTTAAGGGAGGATGTGTTTGACTGGGGACTGGGGGCCTCTAGGAAATCTCTGTACTCTGTGCTGTTTTGTTGAATCTAAACTTGCTCTAAAAATGTCTAGTTGAATTGTTCGGTGGTATGTGATGATTCAGAACGTGTTTACACTTTAAGAAAATGTTCATCTGAGATCCAAATTTCATTGAGTATTTCATATTTAATCTGGCCACCCTACCTGGATCATCCTATTTTACAAGGGAGTAATGGATAACAGGAGGGGGATCTGGGTGGCTCGGGTCGGTTGAATGTTCATCTCTTGGTTTCAGCTCAGGTCATGATCTCGTGGTCATGAGACGGAGCCCCATGTCAGGCCCCTCGTGCAGCTTGGAGCCTGCCTGGGATTCTCCCTTTCTCTGCCCCTCCCCAGCTTGTGCTTGCTTGAGCTTTCTCAAAATAAACTTTAGGGCGCCTGGGTGACTCAGTCGGTTAAGTGTCCAACTTCAGCTCAGGTCATGATCTTGCAGTTTGTGAGTTTGAGTCCCGGGTCAGGCTCTGTAGTAACAGCTCATAGCCTGGAACCTGCTTCAGATTCTGTGTCTCCCTCTCTCTCTGCCCCTCCCCTGCTCACGCTCTGTCTCTCTCAAAACTAAACATTAATAAAAATAATGGATAACAGAAAGATATTCAGCAGCCACCATCTTTATAAGGAAATATTGACAATAAGATTTGCCTTCATAAACCAAAAAGCCTTATAAGGAAACAATGGGACATAATTAAAACAGAAAATGAAAACCCATAAGGAAGATGTCATCATTCCAAGATCCTCCATAAATTAACATTTATGGAACATCTACTGTGTTCCAGAAACCTTGTAAGTGCTCACAATATCATATGTCATTTTTATAAAATAGGTGACAAATCGCCATTAACTTCCTTCTTGGAGCAGAAGGGACTTAAATCTGATGGTGGAATCATTGGGAAGTCATTTTTTAATGTATTTTTTGGTGGCGCTTAAAAGTGCCCAGCTGACGAAAGGCACAATTACACTCATGACACGTGTAGGGCTTTACCCCAGAGTGGGTGCGCTGGTGAACATTGAGGTTCCCTTTGTGGCTGAAAGCTTTCCCACACTCTTCACACACATAGGGCTTCTCCTTTGTGTGGATCCTCTTGTGGCTCCGCAGGGTGGAGTCGTGGGTGAACGTCTTGAGGCAGATTTCACAACAGTAAGGCTTCTCGCCTGTGTGGATTCGCTGGTGAACTCGGAGGTCTGAAGTCTGCATGAAACTCCCAGAACAGGTGTTGCATTTAAAGGGTCTCTCTCCCGTGTGTGTCCTCCAGTGGATGGAAAACTGAGATTTATAACGAAATTCTTTCTTACAGAGGCTACAGACATTTGATGTCCCTCCCGTGGCTTTTTTCCCAACAGGATGAACTGATGACACAGGCTGTCCTGAAAATTCTCCTGTGTCCAAATGTGTGGCCACATCTTGGGAAATGGAGGTGTTTTCCTGTTTTCTCCTTTTGGAACTTCTTTGAGTCTTCCGGGAATCTCTTCTCTTCCCATTCTGAGTGGACACTTGTCTCTCTGAAACCTGTGTGGAAGGCTTTTCGGCATCCACATTTTTAATATGGGTTCCTTCTTGGAGAGTCTTCATGGGAGCTGTTGAAAGAAGGGTTAACACAACAACACTTAATAAAGAGCATTTTCAACGATACCAACCTTATTTGAACCAATCACTAAGAGGTGGGCTAAGAACTTCTCATCAATCAACAAACTTGAGATTGGGTTGTATGTAGGACGCTCTGGAAATCAGTGATGGAGAAGGCATTTGAGAGCCTCCCCACCACCAGCACCACCAAGAGATGTCAATGCTTGATCCCCAGCCCCCTCCCCAGCAGAGAAGTCACTCTTCCCAGTTTCCATGCTCACCAGGACCCTTCAGAAAGGGAGGCTCTTGGGATTGAAGTATTCTTGTCTCTTCCAAGTCTTCTGTCAGATTCTTCTCCAAGTTCTCCTTAGGTCTCAGACCCTCCAGTATACCTTTTCCAGGAATGGTCTCAGGCAGGAGAACGTTCTGTCCCTGACAATGGGCAGTCGCTGTAGTTACCAATGTGTCTAAATTATGGGGTGGAAAGCTCTCGTCTCTTCTTTCCCCATCCTGCCCATCTTTCTAATCTGAGACCCCAACTTTCTCCATAATAGTGTTGTGAATATATCCCCACGACTTCCCTTGGATCACCCCATCACCCCGATAATCACCTGATTCTCAGAACTCTGTTAACCAATACCCACTGCGCCTTTAAATCATGTCCACACATCACAACTTTTGTGCCTAATTCTCTAAGCACGTTTCCTAAAGCCACCCCGCTTCCCCTTGTCCGACTCTGGAAGCAAGATGGCGCTAGGTCCAGGTGTCCCTACTCAGTGCTACTGGTACTTTGGATAATTCCCTGTTGGGAGGCTGTCCTATGCGTTGTGGGACAATTAGCAGCATCCCTGGTCTTACCCAACAGGTGTCAATAGCACCCCCCATCCCCACCTCCATTCTGACAACCAAGAAGGTCTCCAGACATTTGCAAATGTCTTGAGAGGCAAAACGACTCCGAGTGAGAACCCTCCTTTAATTTATTGACAGTAGTCCCCAAACTGGTCCTTTGGCCGATTGTCATTTCATGGAATGCCTTTGAGGAACTCAACTATGGAAAAATCAGCTTTCAGTTCATTACCCTGTGGCAAATTGACCTGGCACCATTTCATCACCACTATTGTCCTCCAGCCTCAATACTAAAAGCCTTAATGGCAGGGGGACAAAGGCTGAAAGGTCCTCATTCTCCACAGAGGCTCAGAAATGTCTAGGGACTTGATGCATCCATGGGAATTCCAAGGGCAAAAGGGCCTAGTTCGGTGCTGTGCTAAATATCCCAATTATTCTAGCAGCTGCACACACTTCTGGTACCTTCTGCCACCACTCCCTAGAGATTGAGGAGAGCATCACACTCACCTGCCTCTTTGATGGTTCACTGGTTCCTGGCAGGTTCTGTAGCTCTCTGCTGACCTGGATGTTCTCTGGATGTATCTCACACCCAGAGGATTGGGGCTTCTTGGACAAGTCTGTCACAAGATCCCTGTCACCAGCCTCGGTGTTGGCCATCTGAACATCTGAACTTCGCATGAGAAATTCCTGTCCTTCTATGCTAACTATGGTCTGTGGGGGGTGGGGGAGAGGGGGGAAAATAAAACAAGATCAGACTCTGTAAGAACCAGAAGGTAGCTCTCTTGTACAGTGCGCATTCTACCACACATTCAATTTGTTGGAATAACTTGTTTAAAATGGCAACCAAAAATGTCTCCAAACATTGTCAAATGCACCCCTAGGGGGTGAAGGTGAAATTACCCCATCCCCTTCTGTTGGGCAGCTAACTACTGGGCTAGCCACAATATCTAATCAACTTCAATACCTCCCTTTTATTTCCCACTGCCCCAGCTAATACTAATACTAATACTCAGCCCTCAAACTGTCCTCCTGATCTAGGCACATGCAACATGGTGCTGTGAAAAACCCAACCCCTCCCCCAAGTGAGGCTGCCAATGTTTGACCTACGTGTCACCCAGCTGGTCTTAAATCTCTTTATCAATATTTCCAGATTAAAACCTTACAGTTTTCACAGCTATTTTTCCACGATGTTGTGGAAGCTTGTAATCTCCATTCTTGGCTCACCCCCTGGAGGATTTCATCTCCTACCAGAGTACACAGGGAAAGGGGGATTTGCCATGTTGGACTTAGTTCCCTCCTGTCCACTGGTTACAAAATTACCTATAGAGGAACCCATCCCCTGTGACTGGAACAAATATGCATGTGGCACACCAGGTCCTATTCCCTTCTAGATCCTTCTGAACCCTTCCTTTTTCTACAAAGGATAAAGGCACACTCAACCCACCATGATGGAAAATGTTCCCACATAAATAATCTTACCTGGTCTGGTGATTCTTACCCAAGAGCCAAAGTTTTGACCCTATGAGACATTTGGCAACCACCAGAGATTTTGGGGGGATGGGGTGGCGTGGTGAGGTTTGATTTTCACAACTAGGGGAAGTTGCCACTGACACAAGGATGCTGCAAACCACCCTACAATGCACAAGAAAACCCCCAAAGCAAAGGATGGTCCACCCCCCAGTATCACTAGTTGATCTGAGAACCCAATCCAGTCAAAAACCTACTATCCCAACCCCCTCCCTTCCTCAGCATCTTCCCAGGACTCTAGTTGCCATGACAACACATCCAATGCACCTCTCTGCACCCTGTAGCTGCTTTACTCAGGTAGGACCACTTTTAAGAGGGTCTCTGGCAATACCAAGAATTGTGGGGCCAGTGGACCGGTTTCAGCCTTTCTCCTTGAGTGTCTGGAACGTCCCTTACACAACTGTCCCCGTGAGAGGTAGGGCAGGGTTAAGTGACAGTAAGGTGTGCCGACTCACGAAGCCCACCAGATGCCAGTAATGTCCCCCCTCCTCCCTGTTCAACAGCCAGAAATGTCTCTAGACATTGCTGAGTGTCTCCTGCCTTCCACTCGAGAACCACTGGGCCCAGAAAAAGCCCCTCCTGTCCCCCATACCAGCCCCCGCTTTCCCGTTGCAACGAGGAAGGCGCTACTCACCCATTTCTTGGGCCGCTGGCTGCTTCTCAGCACATCCTGCAGGTCTTTGCAGCTCTGCACAGCACTTTCCTTCACTAAGACCTGGAGCTCCTGCGGCATGGAGATCATGAACTGCTCCATCACCAGCATATCCAGAATCTGCTCCTTGGTGTGCAGGTCTGGCCGCAGCCACAGATAGCAGAGTTCATAGAGCCTCCTCAGGTCCTCCACAGGGTCCGACCGCCCCGAGCTGCTAAACGCCCTGAAGCTCACGTGCCACTGCTCACAGCTGCTGTCTTGCGTTCCAGCGAGGGCTCCTTGGGCTTTCTCCCGTGAGAACGTCTGGTCTGCGGCCATATTTACAGGAGAATGTTCCAGTATGGCTCTGTGCAAACTCTCTAAGGTCTGGTGCCTAATTAAGACCTACCTAAAGGTATTTACTCTGGTTTTCCTCAGCAGTAGACTGGCTGTTTTTTCACAAGTCTGGGGGTGGGGGGAGGAATGAACCAGATTAGTTTATTGTTTGTTTGTTTTGAGGAAGAGAGAGACAGCAAGCAAGCAGGGGAGGGGCAGAGAGAGAGAGAGAGAGAGAGAATCCCAAGCAGGTTCCACACTGTTACTGCAGAGCCTGACATGGGGTTTGAACTCACAAACCGTGAGAGCATGACCTAAGCTGAAACCAAGAGTCAGATGCTTAACCAACTGAGCCACCCAGGTGCCCAAAGATTAAACTTCTTACCCTTCCTCCCCTCACCCAACACTAAACACCAACTGGTCTGTGTTTAATACATTGGAAAGTGAGCCCCACTATTATTTTCCCAATGTCCTTTATAGTAAAAGGTGGTTTAATTGTCTGAATGGACCCCTAAGTTCTGAGCATGAAATATACAGAGGTGGGCTCAGTTTTTGTATCTATAAATTGGGACAATATTGTTCTTTACTATAAATTAAATATAACTAAGTGCAGACACCAGGGTGGCTCAGTTGCTTAAGCATCTGACTCTTGATTTCAGCTCAGGGCAGGATCTCTTGATTTGAGTTCAAGCCCTACGTGACAATGGACAGTGAGGAGCCTGGTTGGGATTCTCTCTCAAAAATAAACTTTGTATATATTTCAATTTTGAATTTAAATTCAAAATATATTTCGATTTTTCAAAACATATATTTTGATATATACAATTTATTTTAACAATGTCAATCTTTGTACCTTCTCATCAGGACAGCATACAAGGCAAAACTGTTAGTTGTAATTCTGCAGAATACAGAAATATATTTCCAACCTAAGAATTTCATGTGGTGTAGAAATGTTGGAAATATTAACCTAGGATTGTTCCCCAATACATTTCCTTGTTTATCCCAGGATATTGATTTCTTCCAGGAAAGGGAGAACTCAAAAGAATCCTAACAGGATTAACAGATAACTTTGTCACTGTGATAAAATACACATTACATAAAATTGAGTCCTTTAAAGTATACAATTTTGGGGCAGTACTCACATTTGCAATGCTGTACAACCATTCACCACTGTATTTCTAGAACTTATTCATCCCTGAAAAGGAAACCCTGCCTTCCCCACCCACCTTTACCTCCTGGTAATCCATTAATGGGCTCTGTCTCTATGGGTTACACATACCTAATCTCATCCCAGAAAAAAGGATTTAAAATCCAACGCTCTTTGAAGTTTTCAAAGAAGATTTTAAGAGAGAGAGTTTTTAAGAGGTTCTCAACCTAGCTCCCAAAGGCAAGAACCACTTTGTTACTCTGCAGACTGGTGGGGGGACTCAGTTCACAAGTGAGAGCCACGGGGCCCCCAGGTAAAGGGGCTCTAATCCTGGCCTCTCTAGTAGGTTGATAAGAGGCCCATAATTAAAGGTTTGATTTTACCCCGTGGACAGCAAACACCCAGTGATGTGTTTTTAAGCAAAAGTGTGGCACGTTTAGAAATCTCAGGAGAACTATGTGCCACATGGAATTCAAAGGTAAGACATTTTGCCTAAAACCCACAATTGTCCACTTTTGTCCTGTTTCAGATCGTTGGGGAAGCTTGCTTGAGCTCAGCGTTGTTTTAGTTCCATGCTTCAGCTTCAATTAGCTGCGGGGTCTTGGGCAAGTCAATCAGCTCTTTGGATACCACAACGCTTCTCCATGACATGGGCAGATAAAACCTACCTCTTATGTGGTGTGAGCATAAACTAAGGTGGCTAAAGACATGCCTGGCACACGTTTACTGGATTGAGCGACCCCAACATTTCCATCTGCGGTTCTCAACAAAGGTGACTTTTGCCCCTGTTCCCCACGCACCTCGGGACTTTGGCAACATCTGGAGACACTTTTGGTTGTCCTAACCCGGGCATGGGGGAGGCGGGAGGGGGAGATGTCGCTAAACATCCTGCAAGGCACAGGGCAGCCCCCACAACCCACAACTCCCCTCCCCCCACCCCAACAAAACAGCAAACAATTATCTGGCCAAAAATAGCATCTGAGGTCGAAAAACCTTGGTTCAAAATATAAACCACACCCACCATAGCACAAATGTATTGACATGATTCTCATTTCCCAGATGAATTCGACAATGAATCGACAATGAATCGAAGTTAATAATGGGGTGTAGGAAGATAACATTGTCGTCTCAAGACCTCAGAGCTAATGCATAGTGAATATAGACCTAAGCCTTCCTGGTTCCAACCTCCATCCATCCATCCCAGTTTCCAAGCAACCTTAGGCATTCCCACCCATAACTTACCTCCTACATGTCTTCCTGCCTCTGAGGGACCAGCTCTCAAACTGTGCCTCAAGCTGAAATGTCTCTGTTTATATACGGCTAGAGAAACTCCAAACTTCCGGTTACCTCATCAGCCTGATGATTGGTTTAAAGCCATAGAATTAACAACTTTAAATGGTCGAGTGGATTAAATTTCTCACTGAAACCCCATCAAGAGAAAAACTCATTTATTAAGTAAGTCTCTTTGGAGACAATATTGGTTTTCCTGCTCTGGTGAATTATTTATCATATGCCCAAGGTGCTCAAAGGAATCGGGGAACATAAAGCTGCAAGTTTTAAGCACTTTGGGTCAAGGTTTTATTTAAAATGGGTTGACAACTCCTCATCAGGGAAATAGAAATCAAAATCACTCTGAGATATCACCTCACGCTGGTCAGAGTGGCTAAAATGAACAAATCAGGAGACTATAGATGCTGGAGACGATGTGGAGAAACGGTAACCTTCTTGCACTGTTGGTGGGAATGCAAACTGGGGCAGCCGCTCTGGAAAACAGTGGGGAGGTTCCTCAGAAAATTAAAAATAGACCTACCCTATGACCCAGCAATAGCACTGCTAAGGAATTTCTGGACAGGAGTGCTGATACATGGGGCATACGCGCCCCAATGTTTATAGCAGCACTCTCAACAATAAATGAAAACCCTAAATGTCCATCTTGAAGCCGAATGGATAAAAGAAATTGTGTCAGTTTATATACTTTTAATACATTCACATTATGTACAAGGAAAAGAATGAAATATGGCCCTTTGCTGCTTGATGAATGGAACTGGAGAACAGAGTACTACATGAGTAAATAAACATTACAGAGAAACACAGATACCATATGGACTTCTACTCTTATGGTGGATCTGAAGCTTGACAAAAAAACCCATGGGGGGGGAGGGGGAAGGAAAAAAAAAAAAAAAAAAAGGTTAGAAGTAGGAGAGGAAACTAGTAAATACATAAGAGACATGCAGCCCAAAAAGTGAACAGGGGCTCCTGGGGCCGTAAGTCGGTTAAAGCGTCCGGGCAACTCAGGTCACACCTGCACTGCGATCTACATGATCATTGAGGGATGAGCCCTGCTGCGTCAGGGCTCTAACGGCCAGAAATGAGAGCCTGTTCTTCTTCCTGAATTCTGTGTCTCCTCTCTCTCTCACTGCCTCCGTTCATGCTCTGTCTCTCTCAGCCTCCCTCTCATAAAGAGCAAATAAGCAGTTAAAAAATTAAAAGTGAGCTCATGAGGGGAGACGGTGATATGATTGGGAGGAGGAGGGGAGCTGATATTCTAGGCATTAAGAAGAAAGGTCATCTTTTAGGATGAGCTTACACTAAGGTATTATATGAAGCTCAGTTTAAACCAATGTAAATTTCTATATATTAAAAAATAATAAAAATAAAATAAATAAATAAATTAACGAAAAAAAATTAATGATTTTATATATACAATGGAATACTACTGCGCACCAGCAATGAGAAAAGAATTAGTGACGCCTTTTTGTATAGCGATGGATGGGGTTTTGGAGGAACATGCTAAATTAAAGCTCGTCGACAGAAGAAAAGCGAATCCATGTTTTTCAGAGATCATATGTGGATCCTAGAAAGCTCTTTCTCGAAGACCATGCAAAGGGAGGAAGGTTAGGTGAGTTAGAGAGGAAGGAGCTGCTTGTGGAGTCTCTTAAAACTGAGAATAGAGGGAAACCTGGTTGTATGGCGCACTGTTGACTCGGGATTGAAACCATCGACTTCAACAGATTCTGCGATCTGTGTGCGTCCGTGAGTTAGAGCCCAGCACGTCGGGAGCTCTCCTAGGCTGATGTGGCTCAAGCCTGGAGCTATGTAATCGGTGTGTCTCCCTCTCTCTCTCTGCCCCTCCCCACGTTCATGCCTCTCTCTGTCCCAAAAATGAGCAGTGACAGTTGAAAAAAAAATTTTTTTAAAAAAAATAAATAATAAACTGAGGGTTGATGGGGGGGGGGAAGGGAGGGAGGGAGAGGGTGGGTGATGAAGTAGTTAGGGGAGGCACCTATTGGGATGAGCTTTTTTGGGTGTTGTATGGAAACCAATTTGACAATAAATTTCATATTAAAAAATAATAAATAAAATGGGCTGACAGTGATGAGCTTTAAAAACCAGAAGTTGCTACGCTACCTGCAAGTAGGGAAAATAAATCGTAACATTGCATCTCAATTACTTTGCACAAACACACCACAAAGACAGAAGGCAGAGTGATACACATCTCTATCAAGGAGAGTTGTGTGTGAAGAGATGATAGGCCTGTATCAAACCAGTGACAATTTCTCCTCTAGCTCAAAACACAGGGGTGCCAAGGTGGCTCAGCGAGTGGAACAGGAGACTCTTGACGTCGGGGTTGTGAGTTCAAGCCCGAATTTGCAGGTAAAGAAATTGTAAAAATAAAAATAAAATAAAATATTTAAGGGGCGCCTCAGTGGCTAAGTTGGTTAAGCGTCCAACTCTCGATTTCAGCTCAGGTTGTGATCTCACAGTTCGTGGGTTTGAGCCCCATGTTGAGCTATGTGCTGACAGTGTGAAGCCTGCTTGGGATTCTCTCTCTCTCCCTCTCCCTCTGCCCCTCCCC